CACTTGGAGACCCCTGCCTGGCTTCTGGTAGTGGCCACCTGTGCCAGGCCCGCAGCATTCAGTCCACAAAAAAGGAAAATCAACCTTTTTTGCCAGAGCTCGTCAAGCACATTTCTGGTGGGGAAAGCACCTGAGGAACATTCTAGAAACCACTGCCACTTGGAGATGCAGAGGTGGCCCAAAACCTTTCAGTAGACCCTGGTGAACACCACTTGGAGACCCCTGCCTGGCTTCTGGTAGTGGCCACCTGTGCCAGGCCCACAGCACCCAGGCCACTATAAAATGAAAAATCAACCTTTTGGAGCCAGAGCTGGTCAAGCACCTTTGTGGTGGGGAACATTCTAGAAACCACTGCCACTTGGAGATGCAGAGTCTTTCATGTTATTTGGCCACCTCTGCATCTCCAAGTGGCAGTGGTTTCTAGAATGGTCCTCTTTCCCCACCAGAAATGTGCTTGACCAGCTCTGGCAAAAAAGGTTGATTTTTCATTTTATAGTGGCCTGGCACAGGTGGCCACGTACTACCAGAAGCCAGGCAGGGGTCTCCAAGTGGTGTTCAGCAGGGTCTTTCCCCACCTGAAAGGCACTTGGCCACCTCTGCATCTCTAAGTGGCAGTGGTTTCTAGAATGTTGTTCAGGGGCTTTCCCCACCAGAAAGGTGCTTGACCAGAGCCTCTGGCTCCAAAAAAGGTTGATTTCATTTTATAGTGGCCTGCGTGCTGTGGGCCTGGCACAGGTGGCCACTACCAGAAGCCAGGCAGGGGTCTCCAAGTGGTGTTCACCAGGGTCTTTCCCCACCTGAAAGGCACTTGGCCACCTCTGCATCTCCAAGTGGCAATGGTTTCTGGGGGCTTTCTCTGGCTCCAAAAAAGGTTGATTTTTCATTTTATAGTGGCCTGGGTGCTGTGGGCCTGGCACAGGTGGCCACTACCAGAAGCCAGGCAGTGGTCTCCAAGTGGTGTTCACCAGGGTCTTTCCCCACCTGAAAGGTTTTTGGCCACCCCTGCATCTCCAAGTGGCAGTGGTTTCTATCTAGAATGTTCGCCAGGGTCTGGCTCCAAAAAAGGTTGGCTTTTCATTTTATAGTGGCCCTGGGTGCTGTGGGCCTGGCACAGGTGGCCACTACAAGAAGCCACCTTGAATAGTTTCATCAATTCCAAGGAAGGGGTCTCCAAGTGGCATTGGTTTCCAGAATGTTCCTCAGGGTATTGCCCCACCTGAAAGGTACTTTACCACCTCTGGCTTGAAAAGAGCTTGTTTTTTCATTTTATAGTAGTCCTGGGCGCTGTGGACCACCACAAGAAGCCACATTGAACAGTTCCTGTCAATTCCAAGGAGGAAGTTCTCCCAGTGGCAGTGGTTCCTAGAATGTTCCCCAGAGGCATTCCCCACCAAAAAGGTACTTGGCCACCTCTGCATCTCCAAGTGGCAGTGGTTTCTAGAATGTTCCTCACGGGCTTTCCCCACCAGAATGGTGCTTGACCAGCTCTGGCTCCAAAAGAGGTTGGTTTTTCATTTTATAGTGGCCTGGGTGCTGTGGGCCTGGCACAGGTGGCCACTACCAGAAGCCACCAGGCAGGGGTCGGTTTCCAGAATGTTCCCCAGTGTCTTTCACCGTCTGAAAGGTACTTTACCACCTCTGGGTTGAAAAGAGCTTGGTTTTGCATTTTATAGTGGTCCTGGGTGCTGTGGACCGCCACAAGAAGCCACATTCAACAGTTTCTGTCAATTCCAAGGAAGAAGTTCTCCCAGTGGCAGTGGATTCTAGAACCTCTGGCTCCAAAAAAGGTTGATTTTTCCTTTTGTAGTGGCCTGGGTGCTGTGGGCCTGGCACAGGTGGCCACTACCAGAAGCCACATTGAACAGTCTCTGTCAATTCCAAGGAAGAAGTTCTCCAAGTGGCATTGGTTTCTAGAATGTTCCTCAGGGTCTTTCCCCACCTGAAAGGTAATTTACCACGTCTGGCTTGAAAAGAGCTTGGTTTTCATTTTATAGTGGTCCTGGGTGCTGTGGACCACCAAAAGAAGCCACATTGAACAGTTTCTGTCAATTCCAAGGAAGAAGTTCTCCTAGTGGCAGTGGTTTCTAGAATGTTCCCCAGAGGCAATCCCCACCAAAAAGGTACTTGGCCAATCTTGTTATAACATGAAATTCAACCTTGCAATGTTCAATCATGTTTCTATAAAATAGAATACCAACCTCTCTTGCCATTGCTGCCTAATCTTGTTATAAAAAGAAATCCTAACCTTGCAATGTTCAATCATGTTTCTATAAAATGGCATACCAACCTCTCTTGCCATTGCTGCCTAATCTTGTTATAAAATGAAATCCTAACCTTGCAATGTTCAATCATGTTTCTATAAAATAGAATACCAACCTCTCTTGCCATTGCTGCCTAATTTTCCTCGAAAATGGTATACTCAGCCTTGCAGTGTCCACCGACTTGTCTATAGAATGAGGACCGACCCTGGCTGTTTCCCCCACTTCTCTATAGAATGAAAACCAACCCTGGCTGTTTCAATTAGACAATTCAGATTTTGAGCCTACAATTCTGTTACATTAGTGCCTTCAAGGGTGACCCCCTTTATTCTATAGAGAAACTATGCTGTACACTACAAGGGTTGAAAGCTAGATTCTATAGTGGGGCACTTTGCTACCAGAGGTTGGTTGACCAATTTATCACTATAGAATGGCGTTCTCAACCCCCACCGGTAGTACCAAGGGGGATATTGTATATGTATATATATATATGTTGTATATATTATATATGTATATATTATGCAACGACAACTATGTGGATATGTTATGTGTGTAGAATGTGTATATATATATACACAATATATAGTTCTAGCATTTGGTTTGGAAGTCTCTCTTGGAATTTGCATGCTGTTATTGATGTCCATCACTTAGGGAGCTGCCTCATGAGTTGACCGTTCGTAAGCGGAATCCCTTGGGTGACTGGTTCTTTTCTTGGAAGTCAAGGGTTGGTACACAAAGTCACCCTGTAGACTCACATGTGAAGTTGCGGACCTGGATATATGAACTGTTCTTAACCAGGTGGTCTTCCCAGTCGTCTTCGTTCTCGACCTAGTGAATGATGTGACATGTGCCTCAAACCAATCGACCCGGTGGCGACTTCGACCTGAAAAGGGACCGCAACTGGTTGCGTATTGCCTGCGACCCAGGTCAAAGAACAGGGAGAGACCCAGGAGGAGCTGCGAACTCACTGTGAGGACGGGAACGGTCGTGGCCTGGCCTTCCGCCAGGGGGAGGGCGGCTTGGGCCGCCACAAGTGATTTGGACGATGGGAAGGTGTATGTTTTTCTTAAAGGAACTTATGGCGAAGCAAGTGAAAGCTCACCGGTGAAGAAGCAAGTAGTAGCAACTACAGCAAGCAAGGAAGAACAATTAGTAAGACACTTCAGAAGGTACAATACAAACCAGGGAAGACAGGTCTTGTTTTAGGAATATTCGCCGTAATTCCAGACCACAAATCAATCACGAGGTTTGAAATCATTTACCAAACTATACACAATAATATATTATACGTTATATACAGTATATATATACATGTAAATATACCCAGACCATCAATGAATGGCATAATGGATAATTACCTTCATGGACGGGTCACTTTTATGGGGTAAAATGCATGTGTATATATATATATAGTAAGTATTCCAATCCCATGGATGATCTGGGGTATTCCAATCCCATGGATGATCTGGGTACATGTAGCTTCTGTCGCGACGGACTCAAATCAAGTTTGGAAACCATTTCCTCAGCTTGAAAGACCCGTTCCTCTCATATGATTTGTTTGTTTCTCATACTGAGAGGCAAACCAAACTGTTGTATCATCTTCTAAGAGGACTCAACCTCTTCTAAGAGGACTGTAGTAGGAAACTGTTTGTCAAGTTGCCAAGAGGCAAAGTCGTTTTTTTTGGAGATATCCTCACTACTCCTAGGGTTGGTTGAGTATCATGTATCCTCCATCCCACATGTCTACAGAGGTTCTTCCACGTCTCGGGGCCGTCAGGAGCTGAAGGAAGCAGTCCGGAAGCCCCGTCAGACGGGACGTGACTGGTCAACCCCCCACGGCGAAGGTAGAACGAACACCTCGCGGGTTGATGAAACATCCTTTGTTAAGCCTACAGCTCTGCATTGGGCGCCATTTGTTCACACAAAATCACATGTGGCAAGTTGGGCTAAGCTAGTTCAAGTTCCTTTTGTGGTAACATCTTTGCAGTCGGCTGAATGGATCTAATGTCTTAACTACTCCCGACTTGGTGAGGAATTGGGTTTGCTTCATCCATTTCCATATCATATATTCCATGCATTGTGTGTGATCGCTTTAATCCACCTAGTCCCAGTGCAAACATCAAGGGCACTTGTTGGATCTTGTTGGGGTGCATATATATATATATATTACCTTCGACTGTCCAGCATGACTGTCCGTGGTTCAAAAAAGAGCTCCCTTCTCCTAATTGGACTCTCCTGAGACGAAGCTCTCCACGAAGGGTACACTGCTTGAGGTGAACCAACAGCGGGAGACCCAACAGGAGCTTCAAAGAACTTGCAAGGCAGGGCACCGGCGCACCTGCCCTGCGAGCGGTACCGATTGGGACCCGTGCGTTACACTGGATGGTTCCCGTTTTTTTTTGGTGTGTGTTTTCAACCTTTTTAACTTGGGATGAGTGAACTCACTGGCTCTTTAATGTTTCAAGTGCATTGAAACGACCGACCAGAAAACATTTGCACTTAGGCTGGTGTGATTAGTGTTGCCACTTGCAGTGAGTGCCCCTACTTGCAGTCCGCTTTGACGTGCCCAGTTGATTTTGGGTCCAAGTGACTCAATGACGCGGGAAAGCAACTCGAAAGGTGGACATTGCCAAACACAATCCAAACACAACAACACAAACACATCACCTTTTTACAGGTGTTGAACAACATGGACTAACAAGGAACGGGAACTTGAACATCACCGCTTTCTAAGTTTTATATACCCATTTCCTATGCAAAGGCCCCATGCCATTTTCTTTCACCTATCTTCTTCCACATGGCTGCGAGCGTTATGCGTTTGTTCCTCACTTCAGTATCATCCACATCCGTCGCCGGCAGTGGCCCGGCCGGGCAAGGACATCCAGGACTTGCTGGCCCAGGCCACGACCTGCTGGCCCGTCGTGTTGGATGGCTGAGCGGTGCAAATCATGAAGCGGTATATCAAGTCCAACTGAACGCATACCAAACGGCACCCCGTTGAAACAAACGTCCAGCCTCTTCCTACGGCGCCGGTCGCCACCAGGTCGTGCGCATCGCCGAGACCCGGCAGAGCCGAAAGTCCAAGAAGCGCCACGAAGGCGCGGACGCTCCGCGCGTGCGGCGGAGACCGCGGTCTCCGCGGCGCATGGCCGCACACAGCGGCGGCCAGGCGTTGATGGTGGGGGGGCCATGGGTTCACCTGATCAGATGGGTTGGAAGGTGAGGGGAAGGGTGGTGAGAGCCCCAGAGCATGGGATGAAAACAGTATTTCAACGAGTGGGTGAGAGCCTGCTCATTGGGGGTCTCCTCAAGTTGGATTGTTGTTTTCTGGTATCAGCTGCCCTTGCTGTTATGAATCTTTATCATGTTCGCTAGATGCCCAGGGTGACATGAAGCAGGTCCAGCTGACTCTGGCAAGCAGTCGTGGGGTGGCGAGGCCAGCTTTTGGGCTTCAGGGTACTGCGAAATGCTCCAGGTCTGATTCGCTCATTCCCTACTAAGTCCAAGAACCATCCATGCAGCCCAGGGTGTGCAAATTGGAGATGTGTGCAGTTTGTTCAACTTGAATTCAGGGTTTATTGGAAGATCATTCTCCTAGGGAAGATGAGCGTATGTAGAGCAAATTCTACCAAACTCTTCCAGATTCTCCGTTGTAACGCCCCAAAAGACCAGAGCAGATCTCAACATTCACCCCATTCAGGATGGCTAGCTGCGTCACCAGCACTTGCTGAAGTCCCTCGTAAACCTCCGCTTGGATCCCGAGGATACCCCAAGCTGATCAATCGGATGGGATGGATCGATGGCATGCACAAGGAATCGCTTTTTGTTTTTCCAAGCTGCACTCAAGTCATGGATACCAGATGATACAACATCTTCAACATCATATCTGTGGTCTTTATATATAATATATGATGTTTTATTACTATGTAATACTAAATGTAATTATTGTTGTTAATTTGTTTACATCCAATATGTTTACTCTAAGAAAACCTCTTTGTCATGCATCAACCCTTTCCAAGGCAACCACCCCGCGTCTCCTCGGCGTCTCCTCGGTTTCGTCACAGGGGAGCCTGAGCCGCCCGGCGGCGCAGAGGCGGAGCTCCGCCGTAGATGCGAAGGGGATCGTACATACCATGGTGTCTTCGTTTGTCCCTTTTTGCACATGAGCTTTCTAGATTGAATGGAACTTTGAATTAACTTTCAACATGGGTTGATAGAAGAAACTTCGACACCACTTTGCCCGTCAGTGCACCAAACCTCTACCATCCGGTGCTGGGCGTGTCTTTGTTCTATCAACACTCCCCATTTGGGCTCCAACATGCTCCAACGGCTCCTCCATTTCAGGTGGTTGGGGGAGGGTGCCTGGGGAGGTGGTCCGTATACCAGCCCAAAGGGCAAAATGACCGTGCAACGACTGGGGGGAACAACCGAATGAGTCTCATGTGATGTCGAACTCTACATGTTTGTTGTCTCGGGGCGAAGCCTCCACAGATCTGTGTGTCGTGTGCCACAGCCAAGGAGTGCTAATTACGGACAAAAGAGGGTTTACTACCACAAGCCGTAGCAAGAAGCCTAAAAGGTGTGCGTCTCTTGGGAAAATGCCTTTTGTTGGGACAGTCCTATCTCAGTTCAAAGGAATCGCAGGAAGCCTGCATCTGGGAAGACTAGAGTAGTCACAGGGTGGATGGGGGAAGGAAAACCTGATAAGAGATGGGGGCCAACCCATTTTGGGCTATGTCGGCAATGTCCATTATATAAGTTTACAACCCTTTAAGGAGTAAGTCAGCGAATGAGTTTGAACATTTGTTGCGGCCAACTTCTTGTCCCCCAGGAATTCAGGGTGGGTATTGCTGTGTCTATCAATCTGTCGGAGGGTTCGAAAGCACGTTCTCGCCGTCTCAATCTGTCGGAGGAAGACCAGGTTTTCCAAGTCACAGACGAGGTGTTTTCAGACCAGAGATTGCTGAAAAAGCTGGGATGATCTGATGAGCTCCATCGGATCCACACGCACTTGAAGGAGGGGCGATGAATCATGTCTACCTGTGGACTGTTGAAGAATAGAACACCCCAAGCCTTTCTCGATGTAGAAGCAGCTAGGGCCTAGGGTCTATTCATACTACCAGTCGACATGATTCGTTCTACTCCCCGTAGAATCCAGGGTTGTCCCATCAACCGTCTCGGTGACAAAAGGATCCTGTGAAACAACAAGCGAATGGAGTTTGGGTCTCGGTTCCAATGATTTCAGTCTCCTTCTTGGCGTGGCTGGCTTCTTGGTGAACGAATAAGAATAGTTAGATGCGTGACGTAGCACCGAGAGCATATATGTTCGACAAACATTCTGTTCCCTCAGAATATACCCCACAAAGACCTTACACTTGTGCTCAGGTTGAACCCTTGTTGTTTGGAATCCGACTCAAAAGCAGCGTCTTTGCAGGTGAATGGCCGCGGCAATGAGCCTTGCTTCAGCCTCGGGTGAGCACTGTCGGCTTCGCCTCAAAGAAGGGCGGTGACCGCGCAGAGCCGGGGATGGACTTCTTCAAGGGTTACTAATTACTCCTTCAACCTAATAGCGATGGCCTCCACCCTACTAGCGATGGCCTCCACCCTACCAACGATGGCCTCCACCCTACTAACGATGGCCTCCACCCTAATAGCGGTGGCCTCCACCCTAATAGCGGTGGCCTCCAACTTAATGGCGATGGTCTCTAACCCAGTTAATGGTGATGGCCTCCTACCTTGAACGCTTTCAAGGGGTTCCTAGTTGTTCCAAGTTGTTTCAAGGGTAGCCCTCAAGCGTAACAAGTGAATAGTGTCTTGAGTTGTTTGCCGAAAGAGTGTGAAGAGTGTTCCAAGTGTTTTTTTTTAATCAAATCAAGTCCAGTTGTTCAAAGCAAGTGTTGGGTCGTCCGGATCTGAGTGGCACATGTTCAGGTCGAACAATGAAGCTTCGGGTGATTGGTATACTTGAAGAGTTCTGAACGGTCGCTACATCCCTACATTAATGGGAGACCGAGGCACACAGACCGATTCCTAGGCCGCCGGCCGTGTGGGCCGTGTGTTTCAAGGAATGGAACAAATCAAATCCCTAGGGCTCCAGTCGTACCTCGGAGAGTATGACTGGAGCCTCTAAACCCACCCCAGTCCCAACTTCTTAGAAGGTACGACTGGAGCCCTAGGGAATATGAGACAAGACAACTACAGCGTTATCTCCGATGCATGCGTGCAACACACTCGGCAGCGCACTCGGCAGCGCAGAGTGGACAACTACAGCCGCTGGAACATCGGTTGAACCATCCGAAGAAAGTCAGACTGTGGTTTCGTGGGATCACATGACCTGTTGGTGTCGACTGGAAGCCTGGTGTCACATGTTTGTCAACCAGTTGTCAATTTTCAGTCCAAGTCCAATCCGATTGACCAATGTGTCGAATGCAGAAGAAGTTGAGGAAAGATCTCCTTCTTCCTGACTAGTCTCGACCCCAAAAAGGGGTGGGACGGCAGGACCAACGACGGGGCCGTTGCTGTCTCAAGGGTGATTGTCAAGTGCGCGATTTTTCTGGAGGGTCAACATGTCAACCTTGCTTCCTTCAAGATCAACTCAGATCTATTGAGATCCACTTCTTCATTATCCTATAGGAAGCATGGTGGAAAAACTGAGATTTTACATGATATCATGATTTCTCCTATTCCGGCTGAGTACAAATAGACTCAGAAACTGTTTGCCCGTCCACCAGAGACTTCAGGATGAACAGTGACTTCTAAACAAAAGCCATCAATATTCCCGCTGATTGGTGGTTTCCAGTTGTTTGCCCAAGGTACCTGGAATGTTTCCGGATGGTGACCAATTCACATATCTTCTTAGGTTGGTTGAATCATCTTGAAACAATGCAAAACAATACACATATGTTGGGTTTTGGACATCTCCCTGACAGCGCAGTAGTAGTGCACGTTGGGAGGATCACATCAAAAAGCGAGCTCGGGAGGTGGGGTGGGTAGTTGTGGGTAGAGTTGAAGGAACCGAAAGAAAAGACGGACGCAAGTGCGTATGATATTCTTAATATATGTTTTATTTTTTTCCACACGCCTTTTCATTATACATGTACATCATCCCATAAGCATGAACAGCAGTTACTCAGTTGTGTATTTCATCACTGGATGTACTTATATCATCTTATGATATACTAGTAACAGTGGCTGTCAGTCAATCAAAACCACATACCCGGAGCATGGCGCAGCATCGCCTCTTGGTTCTTTCCTTCACGGAACCCTCGTTCATATCGATGAACTGACGGGTGCCACAGACGTCCACTCACCCAGGTGCCTGGTCGGTGAGGGACACGGGCAGGGCAAGCATGATCCGACTGAAAGCAGCTCACACATGTTTCACCTGCCGCTCTCGAGGGATCTGTTTCACCTGCGAAAAACAGAGTCGACAAACCTATGGCATCGATCGGACATTTAGGAGCGGCCTATAGGGTCAGAGCTGACAAGTCATTGATGGTCAGTATAGCACTCATGGCATGCTATGTCTCAATTGATTTCACCCCACTGCTGCATTGTCCATGATTGTCCCACTTACAGCGAATGGGAGTTGGGGGGTTGAAGCGCACCAAAACCTGCTGGTTGCAGGAGTTCCCAACAAACATACCACACCACACAAAACACCGAAAGGCCCACCACTTCGCACGGAAGGAACAGGCCGTTGAACTCCGTGTGACCACCATTCTGCAGCGAGGAAACGGAGAGCTAGCACCCCCGAAGACCGAAAACTGGTGAAGACGTCACCCTTCGCAGCATGCCGAAATGGCGGAGCTGCCAAAACTGGACTTCGAGGCGGTGTCGAAGTGTTGCGCGATGTTGCGCGCGTAGACGTAGTTAACGCGAGTGTGGCGCGTAACGTAGTGGCGCCAGAGGGGTCTGGTTCGATCATCTCTTTTCTAAAAACAAAGATGTACAGGTTCTTAGTGCAATTCTCGATTTAAGCGATAAACATGTTTAAAGTGATCATCATCCCTCCAATTCGGACTTGCACGCGATCGCTTCGAGGTACGGGGGGACGTCTGACAGTGATGAACCTTCGGTACCGCATGAGGTCAGCACCGGAGTCAGCACCGCAGCATGAGTGACTATATATTACACAGCGGATGTCCTGGTGTTTCACCCAGAATCCTTTCCAAACCGATCTTCACTGTGATACAGGTTATAGGTTTGGCTCGAGGATGACGTGCGCTGCCCGCAAGCTGGGAAGCTACTTCCTTGCCAAGGGAATCCTAGAGAGACATTGCTCAAGGATCCACTTCCAGCGTGCTCTTGCTTTGCACTGCCTCAATCTCAACCACTCGCATTGAGCCAAATAGGTGTATATATATACTATTAATTGTGTTATACAGTATAATTGTATTTGTATGTTCAGTCCAGAGTGACTGGCATACCGCTGAGGCTTTCACCGGATCGTTTGGCGCGAGAGGTATATATTACAGTATAGTGCTTGCTCCTAGTAGCTTCTTGCTCCTAGCAGTAAGGCCAGGAGCTACTAGTAGCCTCTTGTTCCTAGTAAGGCACTTCACGGGTATATATATATACATATGTCTAAGACCAAACTCCTTGTGCACAAGCTAAGCTTCATGGTCTATTCTCCAATGAGCAAATGACGGAAGCCCTTGAAACACATGAGACCAATGTTGTTCAGAGCCTGCACATTCTTCCCTACGCCGAAGGAGATAGCAATTATAAACAAAGATTGATTTTTACAGCCCTGGCACCGCACCTTGTTGTCAGGTGTATTTTGTTGGACGGTGAATTTCCACAGAACCATCACCATGTTTGAGACTAGAAGAACAGACTGCACCCCCACACACCCACCTCAGCGAACGATGATGGTGTCCCTCCCGGCTTGGTGCACCCCTCCCAACGTCCATCGGCCAGGATGTGCCACGAACGCATCCGACCCCACCAAGCCCATCGTTGGGACATGCGAGGCATGACGGAGTGGCACTTGTGAGTGTCAGTTTTTGCTTGAGTTGTGGGCATGGGTCCACCTTGTTGAAACAACAATGTTGCTGTTGTTATTAATATTTGTTTGTCGTCCGGAAAGAAAGATCGCTCAGTCTTCCCCAAATCGCTTTAACAATTTTATTCATTATGCACAGTGCTTCCTTTCTTTCCATCAGACAAGCATTCTCACCGGCTCAGTAGGTCCTGAGGGACGCAGGGCTTACAGATTCCACTGGTTATGAATGTGCAGAGACTGCGGCTAACATTCCATATTTTTCAGATGTGTCCCAACAAAAAGGAATGTGTTGGGTACAGCAAGTTGATTGCAGTTTATGTAGAATCACTGACTTTTAATATGTGGCTTCAAGTCAGTGAAATGTGGGCCTTTGCTGAGAATGCTTGAAGCAGATGCATGTGATTGGGCCCATATTATCACTTTCAACGGGAGTTGGCTTGTTCGGAGATGTTTGTACTATGAATAGCTGGCAAGCAAGAAACGCATAGCTGGTGGAACGGTTTAGTTTTATGTCATTTGCAAACAACATCCATCAACATGACAAGGGGAGATAGCAGGAGATATGCAACACTGGATGATTTCCCGTTAGAAGCAATGTTCTTTTTAACCTTTGTTGGGTGCAAACATGTGCATAGAAAAAAAACAATGTTGAAAGAATTTTGGGAAACGTTGGTCATGCCGATTGTTCAGAATCAACTGAGGAGTCCCAAGTTCTTTGTCCTGAATCCAATAGAATCCATGTTTAGCCGCTTCCATTTAGTAAGAAAGAAAGAGCGAGCTGACCTTCGTACTGTACATCATAAACTATAAGTCAGTATCATTCGCTGCACATGAGGGTTCTGTTCTCTATTCTAGCTCATTCCAGTGCATTCAGCTCTTTGTCCTGTGTAATCACATGAGTTTACCTTGTGCATCATGATATGACCCTTTTTTCAGTTGTGCCCTTTGGATGTTGATCGGTCAGTCCATGCTATATTTGTTTGGATTGAACACATTGATCACGTCCTAGTTCATGTTCCTACGCCATCAAACAAGTTCCAACACATGTTTGCTTTGGGTTCCTCTCAAGAGAACCAATTGTGGACGATTTTATTGGCTGCGTCTAAATGGAATTCATGCACAAATCCTGTACAGTGGGCAAACCAGGGATACTTCTCATATCCAAATGCCATTGGTTGGGTTTGTCAGTCCTGTTACCTGTAACAGTCGGTAAACAAGTACCGCTATTTTAGAGAAAGGCCTGCAACCAAATCATCATCCACTGAAACCTGGTAATAGGATACACCCAATCCATTGGCATCTTCAGCCTCCCGTGTCGCCTTCAAAACCCATCCAATCAATCCGTTGATGCACTGTGCTTTCACTCGTCTCAGTCCAACTCGCGTGTCTCATGGACCAAAAAGGAATTCAACAAGATTCCCAGCCTTGGTGTGCCGGGCGCCAAACGATTTACCAGAGCATGAACAAATAATGACACATATGTGTCATATATATATATTATATATACCTGTTTTATGTGTACCAGGATGAACAAATTATACATGTACATATATATCTATATATGTATACACCTGCTGCTACACAAATATAGTTTGAAGTCTTTGGAATCCTGTCAGGATCCAACGTTGCTCCTGTATGTTTGTTCCTTGTACATCGCGTACATATGTCGAAGGCTTTATGCGAAGCACTACTGAAGTTGGGTTCAAAAGCAACGGAGACTGAGGTTGCTGCAGTCTTGTCTTCGCACAGAGTTGCGTCCCTGCAGCAGATCTTGAAGACATTGTCAGAGAAGAAACATGCCCAGTTGGTTTTTCACACCCTCGAGGTACTCCGAAAGGAGGCCTTTCCTGGGATGAATGCGTTCAACTATACGGTCGGGATGTCCAGCTGCGCAAAGTCAAAGTTATGGCAACATGCATGCTTTCTTCTTGCGACAATGCCCGAGGCAAGTGTTCGGCGAGGGGTGATTAGCTACAACGCCACACTCAATGCCTGTGAGAAGGGAGGACAATGGCAGCAAGCCTTGAATCTCTTTCATGCAATGTCAGCTGAAGAGCTGAAGCCCGACACAATCAGCTACAGCGCGACGATCAGTGCTTGCCAGAAAGGTTGGAAATGGCAGCAGGCATTAAATCTATTTCTGTCCATGCCAACAGCAGCCGTAGAACTGGACACCATTTGCTACAGTGCAACCATGAGTGCCTGCGAGAAAGGCAAGCAATGGCAGAAGGCCATGATGCTTCTCGATGAAATGAAGAGATCGAAGATCCTACCAGACGTGATTAGTTACAATGCATGTATCAGTGCTCTTGAAAAGGGAAAGCAATGGCGACAGGCGGTGCTCTTGTTCGAAGAGATGACGGAGTCGACACATAAACGCCTGGGAGTCGACACCTTTACGGCCATCATCGGAGCCTGTGGGAAGGGCAACCAATGGCAACAAGCTGTGATGCTTTTCGAGGCGATCTTTGAGGCGAATCTTCGGCCGAATGTGTTTAGTTACAGTGCAATGATCAGTGCCTTTGAAAAAGGTGGCCAGTGGCAGCAAGCATTGCGGTTGTTTCAGAGCATGGGCGAAGTAAAAGTTCAGCAGAATTTGATTAGCTACAATGCAACCATCAGTGCATGTGAGGCTTGTGGGCAATGGAAACAAGCCTTGAGGCTGTTTGAGGCAATGCCAAAGGCAAACGTTCGCCCAGGGGTGGTCAGCTACAGTGCATGCATCAGTGCCTGTGAAAAGGGTTGGAAGTGGCAAGAAGCCTTGAAGCTGTTCCGTGCAATGCCTAGCGCAAAGATTGAGCCAGGTGTCATCAGCTACAGCGCGACCATGAGTGCCTGCGAGAAGGGAAGCCAATGGCAACAAGCGCTTTTGATCTTTGAGGAGATGCCAAAGGCCAATGTTCAGCGTGACGTGATTTCCTACAATGCCATCATTCTCGCGTGTGAGCGGGGTCAGCAATGGATGCTGGCCTTGAAGTTGTATGAGCCCATGCCCAAGGCGGAGCTTCAGCATGGAGTTGTCGGCGTGACGGATGCCATGGTCATTGCGCCAAGCGAGCTGCTGAAGCTCTTTGAGGCCATGCTCAGGGCAAAGGTTCAGCCTGACATCCGGAGTCACATTGAGAGCCTCATCGGACGTCATTGAGAGTGGCACCTTTGGGCTCTTGGAGAGAGATGTATTTGAGTGTTTCACTCTGTATGGTAACAGAGTCAAATCCACAGAAGAATTCTGGTCTTCTTCTCACCAGGCTTTGACTCAAACACCTAGCATGTTCGGGAGTCCGCATCGAGTGGGAATTGATCCGTGTCTACCTAAAGTGTTGGGTTTAAGGGCAAGGATCATTTCCATGTTTGAGCTGTTCATAGGGTCCTGTATTTGAATCAACTGTGCATGCTTTGCAGATTCATCCGGATTGCACGTTGAGGACTGCCTTAGGGATCTTAGGGATGAAGCGACTTGCTCAGCGCTGGTATGACTGACTACTCCTCAGAAGACCCAGACACCGTTCGGTGAGCATCATCAGGCTTGTTGTTTGTTCTCCCCTCATGGTCATGGCCCCCTATATATGACACCCTCCAATACCGTATCGATCCAACGCTATTGTGAAAATTGCATGCTGGTCAAATAATATACCATATATATATACGTTACAATAACTTGGGTTTGCCCTATTCCCTGTAACAGTCGGTAAACAAGTATCACTATTTTAGAGAAAAGCCTACAACCAGGCCCCATCCTCATCCACTGTTACTTGTACTGAGATATACCACAAGCGTAGCCAAACATATTTTTGGGATAGTGAACACCAAGTGTTCAACGGACTGGCCACGACTGGCGCCCCCAACGTGCTTAGCGGAAAAAAGGGATGCTGGACATGAGAGCGGGCGAAATGACAGGACCTGCTAAGGCTAAGGGGAACAGCCTGTTGACATATTTTCACAAATCCCGACTAATATTTGGATTTAAAGGCTGCTCGCAACTCCACTAAGCAATCCCTCAAATCCACACAATGTCGCTCTCTCAGATTGAATGAGCTGTTTTCTTATTAGTATTCTGAAATAGCGTTCCATTTGACTGCGCAACTCGGAAAACATCAGTTGGCCCACCCTATGTCCTCAGTCACCGACAATATGAGTTGTGAATCGAGCAAGCTGACCTACTCCCTGCCTCATCAAACAAAGCTGGGGTTTGCTGGGTTTGCCTTGCAGCTTGAAAGGCAGTCATGTCCATGTTCAGCTTGAATAGCGTCGTTTCCCACGCGGCATGCGGCCTTTGTTGGCCAACATGTCATCGAGATGTTCTAGACGCCTTGGGACACTGTTCGAAGCAAAACACGAGAAAAAGAACAGCGGGCACTAGACGATCTTTGCGACATCATTGTGGCGGGTGCAGGATTCCTCCTCCAACAGTAGTTTCTACTTTAACTAACTACCCACCGGTAAGCAGCTGCGAACCTTCATGTTTGCCTTGCTTGAGAATAATGACAGAAGATGGCAGAAGGCAGCGAATTGGAAGTGCCAATCAAAAGATATCATATATTTATTATGCAGTATATACAATATGGATCTAGGTTTGATTGCCTGGTTCGGTTCAGTAGATGCAACGACTGGCTCCAGTCCAGATCACCCCTTAAGAATCTTGTGAACGTTGTTGCGAAAGCTCTCAGAGCATTCTTGTCCTTGTGAGGGCGAGAAAGCGCCCTGGAAAGCAAGTTGTTGGGAGCTCAGTGCATATTTGCAGGGACGGAGGTTGGAGATGGGACGGAGTGATGATCATAACATATCACACCTACTACAACTAATTGGGTTGTTGGGGAGATGGCTTTGCTCAAAACTTGGACTCAGCCTCAGTTGCAAACAAAGAACCTCCAGAGAGTAAATCTCTACCAGTTTCTATGATTCTTTGCGTATTTCTCAGAGAGCTTATACAAATTGCCATCACAGTCGTACCAACACGTGAACCTGTAGGTAGAGTTCGGTTTGCACTACTTGATTTCACACAAAGAAGCGAAATCCCTCAATCCCCACTCAAATCATTGCCTATTGTGTTTGAAAGCTAGACCTCGACAGAAACCCAGACATTCCATGTCATGCATCGAGGAAAACATGAATCTGTGTATGCCCACATTGACCCGCTGAAACGACCCCAATTAAGTTAAATACGGCATGCATGGAGTGTTTGGGAAAGTGTTCATGTCTTGTTCTTGCCATCCGGAGGTGCCCGTCCCATCCTTTCAAACACTTCTGGCAGGCTCGGCGTGGCAGCAGGATCGGCAAAGTAGGCGCTGGCGCAGGATCGGGCCCAATGCAGTCGGACGTTTATGTCAAGGGCGCTCAAAACATCACATCGCCACCACGCCACGGGCCGCCAGGGGAGGAGCCACCCGACGAAGTGCGGGACCGGAGCTCCTCCGTGGGCCGTGTGGGGGGATCCCAGAGCGACGAGGTCGGACGACAAGGACGTGTCCGGTGGGGTGTGTTTTTGAGTGAGATAATATCCCTGCCTTCCAATGGGTACCGTAAGACAAAGAGCATATTCACCGGTGAACTGAACTCTAGACTTTTAACTGGTTTGGGGCGGTGTGCTCCTGGTAGGTATAGGGCGGGTCATTTCTCATCCGAACAGCCATCACATGGGTGTAGGGAAGCTTCTAGCTCTCGCAAGCACTCTCGCATGGTGGCAGTATCAAACCTTTGTGTGTTTTGCTCTTGGAGTAGAGGATATCAACAGGCAAGATTACTCTCCCACTTTAAGAACCATCAGGGATTGCTTGACCTATTTTACGGCCACTTTTGTTTCCTTCTTGAGTCTTGAGCAATGCCAGAGTGGTGGTCCACCGAAGGCCTCCTGAAACGACCATGACCCTGTAAGTGATTTGCACTAAGTGCAGATTGTTATTTGTTTGATTGTTTGTTATTTGTTGTGATTTTTGGTGTGGTTTTGGTTGTGTGTTTGTGTTTTTGCTTTCAGATTCGTGTCTTCCAGTTTGCTTTCCACTTGTGTTGCTCCAGTTTGCATGATACAACCCCTGACCATGTCGAGAGCTTGTGGTTGCTGGTCAGCTGGTCTCACCAGTGGTGGCTTCTGATTCATCACCTTGCACCACCACTTCGACAAAGACGTGCTTCGGGAAGACCGCTTCACTTCCCGACGCCGCTTCTCCGACCGGCTTTGGAACCGGTGGCCGTTTCCCACGGCCGTTTCCCCGTGCCGTGTCCCGTAAGCGCGCAAGGCATGTACTCGGCTGCGGACAGCTTTGCAAGTGTGGAACCCCAAGACGTGGGCTCCTGACATGGGATCAATCTAGGTCAAGATTCCGCAGGGGTCTTTGAGCTAGGAGGTCTCCCTGCCAAGTCGCGACCAGCTCGTCGATCGATGACCCGGTCGTCGCGACCACAGTGAAGAATCTGAAAATAGTTGAAACACCGGTATAGGTAGCGGTGATGTTTGTCCCCCTATCCCAGGTGGTGGCACTGTTCTGAAAATATGTTTTGGCAGCTGGATATGTTTTGGCAGCTGGAATTTGAAACAACATACAGTGCTGCGTTAGACAAGCTTTATTATGCTTGTATAAGTTTATTTATTATTATTCGTATCTTTGTGACAATGTATTTTCTTAATGGCATCCAACTGTTCTTTGAGTTGAAACACATTCAGGCACCCACCCCACATTCAGGCACCCACCCCTTTTGAGTTGAACCCTTGGATTCCGCCACCCACGCTGGTTCTGGATTCTTGCGAACATTTGGTGATCAAACCCTGCAAAGCTTAAATCAAGAGCATGAGGGCCCGGGAACACTTGATTCATGATGCTTGCATAGCCTTTCGAATTTAAGAACCGTTGCAGAACCTTTAGAAATACATTACTTATTTTAATATCCTCATATCGTTCCTTTTGTTCACCTATTCGCCAAGGAATACTTGATGTATCACTTCTGGATGCCCTTGACCGGCCTGGTGGCAGTGGGCCCGGGATGCTCAGGTTGTGGCCGGATTTCTTGAGTTGACAGAGAAATCGACGAAGCGTCGGATCGTCATGTCCTTTTCATTATGTTTTTAACAACCTTCGTTTTTGGCTTCGTTTTGGGAAGCATTTGGTTTGGCTGATGAGTTGTTTGGAATCTATTTGCCGTTGGGTTTGTGAAGTGGTACACAGAAGCATTGGGGTGTCCTTGGGGTGATGTCGGGAAAAGATCAAATCGATTTCGAATGCTGCATCTTTGCCATGATACCACGTGGTCCCACGGGTATTGTTGGGAATCCCATGGTAAAGATGCTGTTTTTTCCCATGCAAGGCAAATTAAGGGACACCGATTGCAAGAGACTTGGGACGCAAGTGAACCATGAAGATTGAACACAGCCCTAAACAGAGTATGAAAAATTCCGAATTCTTTACTACTGAAGTATGAAGTATATGAGTATGAAGTATATGAAGTACTTCAGTTACATGTTGATGTTTGTTTCCTCTACTTCTTCTGAACACCGGTCGGTCGGGTTCTTCACCCGAAAAACATGTTTCTCAGTTCGCGCGCGCTTTTTTCTGGACGCGCCGCCTTCGGACCGAGGCAGTGCATTTACGGTTCAGCCGTGGCTGTCCATCTGCGATCTGGTTGCTGCTTGACTGATTCGGTTGACCCATTCGATTGACCCGCGGCTGACCGGGTGAGTGTCTTTTTTGTGGGGCCATCCTGGGCTCATAGATTGGATGAATACCGTCCGACCATCCCATAGGACTGGAATATTTTAATTTTAAGACACAGAGTAACAAGATGTAATAAGTAATTTGATTCATGGAATGTTTCGAATGGCTTGGAATGTGACCTAGCTTGGTGTTCGGGTTGCCCCATAGTCTATGTAAATTGTTGACAAAGTGGTACTGCAAATAGTGAAGATCGAGCTACGTAGACAAACAGAGAACCTCAAATATATGCTTGAAGCCATTCTGGAGGCTAATGATGTAAGCGCCTTGCAAATGCTTAAAACCACATGTGTTGTCCGTAGATGACTGGGAATCAATCATCTCGAGATTGCCTCGTTTATTGTGAGCGCACCACAATTTAAGAGGATCAGGGCTCAGTTTTGAGTGAGCAGCACTCGACTCAAATTTGATCAATCTTTAGAGTGTCGCCGGTCCTTCCTGCACCACCTCAGAACTTCCTGGAAATCCCCTTCCTGGAAATCGTTTTTTATAGTTTTTTATACTATTTCCCAGCAAATCCAAGTCTATCCCCGCGCCGGCCGCATGATTGGCTCCTTGTTGCACTCCCACGTCCTTTCTTCTCGGTATCGAATCGGTTCAGAATCCAGGTAGGACTCCTCTTGCTCCACTCACAGATTTTCCAGGCGCAAACGCGCGGCGTTTGCGCGCGCGCGCGCGCGTCGGCCATCAGAAATAGACCACGGGCCGAAGGACGTATCAAAGTTTGCCTTGGACGTCATGACCAAGGGGCATACAAGTTTGTGAGTCATTGATCAATGTGCGTGAGCAGAATTAGCGCCTGTGTCGTTCGATTTGGTTTCAATCACCAGTCACACAGGATGTGAGTGCAAGAATCAGCCATCTCATCATGTGTTTGGAAGCTGATCCTCGCACAACCAACAAAGCTGCTGTGCCTGTATTCCTGATGCTATAGAAGAAACCACCAAACCTGTGAAGCACCTGGGACAAAACATGACAAAACAACATGTTTCGTCTTTCAACCACTTGTGCGTGGTGGAAAGCATCGAAGCACAAGCTGGATGAGTTTGTCCTTGATGATTTGATGTACGGATAATATCGAACAGCCACATCATCTACCAGGATTGAGGACAGAGATGACGGATCTTGCCTTCTTCTTTTTCAGATATCCACTCTGTTCGGAAGTCACTGCTTGGGGCTTCTAAAAGGGACCCATGGCTTTCAAGAAAAATATGGTTCTACTTGTGATGCAAACCTTTTTGCTCCACAAAATACCGTGGGGCCCCACATAATTAGGTAAGAACTTGTTTGTTGGACCTGAAGACAAGCAAATTAGAGAAAACCATAGGCTTGGGTGTAAATAAAGCCACCCATGCTTGGGTGTTAATCTTCTTGGAGTAGCTGAGTGGTGTTGTTTTCTTGGAATCTTAACCTCGCAACCATGACCATATCCAGACCATCCATGGGACTGGAAGAATTGCTTGCGTGAATTCGGGTCATTTTTTGGTGTCAAGATGTTTGGTGCCTCTTCCAGTGCCGTGCATGACATGGATGGTTTGGGATCTCCAAGTGACATCTCCAATATCCCGTCACTTCAAAACACCCTTCCACCCCGAAGGTGAGGTGGAAGTGCAAGGAGAAGCTTCAACAATTTAGAATTGTTCAACCCCAGACACGACTGGTGGGACTGGACTATTTACCTACATTGCGGTGGTTGACCTGGGGTCAATATAGGTACCTGGAGTCTGAGTTCGTACCTTCGTAAATGGATACACCTATAGGCTCATGATAGTGCTTATGAGTGACTCATGAGTCATGAGACTACTTGGAAGTCGAGTCCGACCCGGGACCCGATCCCGCACCGTCTCCGGCCGACTCCGCGACTCCGGCGGAACACCGCAGTTCGCCTTCCAGCGATGCTGCAGCAAGTGGACAGAGGACCGGTGGCGGGCGGAAGCAACGGCGGAAGCAACGGCGCTTTTTCGGGCGGCAGCGCGGCAACTGGTGTGGGGTGCATACTCCACTGACTGAAACCGTACGTTATTTGTGGAACAAATAAGAACAGATAGAACAGAACACCTGCCTCAAACCACTTTTGGAAACTGCTAAATGCTGCTAAAGGGTTTGGACATGGATGTTGCTTGAATTTATAGTGGTGTTCTGCCAGTTCCTTTTGCTTCGTGCTTGGAGAACAACATGTTTTGGAGATGTCGTTCAACCTTGTTGGATGCTTGCTGTTTGGCGGGCGAACATACTTTGCTGTATGTGTGAGAGTATGTTGTAAATTGGATGCGTTGATGTGCTTCAACAACTACTACTCAATTCATCTCAATTCCACACATGAGCTTCTGGAACTTGATGGCTTGATGGATTTGAAAGAGTTGTTGATGTTCCCCAAGCCTCAGGACGGGGAAGATGCATATATATATATTTATAGAGAGATATTGAATCATATTGAATCTATTATATATACACGTATAACTTACAGAGGAACTTATAAGGTATATGTTGTCCTGTACAGCTTCGATGCAGCAGGGTTTATCAAATTCGGATCCTACAGGTCTTCGGAAAGTCTGAGGTGTTTAGTACTGGGTCCTACCACTATGTACAATGTATAGTACTGGGTCCTGGCCCCAAGGCGTATCACCTAGCCAAAAGGCGTATCAATGTTGCGTGGCCTTAGCGACATGTTCTAGTTTGTTTTTATTCATGTTCATCGTGCGTGGCCATGGGGTTTTGATATCCCTGCCATATGTTTGTAGTCTTCTCATATCAATGTCAACCCTTTGTTTCCATGGGGATTCGCTATCCAGGTCGTTTGTTTGTAGTCTTGTCGTATTCATGTCACTAGTGTGTGGCCATGGGTGTCACTAGTGTTGTACCTGTGACACTGTATCACTTTTAGATCAGGGTCTTTTGTATATGTCAGAATCGTATCGGTCATAGACTTTTTTCTTCAGACATGTGAACGGGAGACGTCCATTCCCTTCCCTCAGAACACCTCTCACAATGACCGGCCTGTGAGGTGGACAATGCCCTTGTATTGGCCTCATTGATGCTAAGCATCCTGACGCTCATTGTCATTCGGCTGGAAAGCTGCTTTTGCATGAGCCGGCAAAGACGCTATGAAGGCAAAGGTTCATGATTGGCACACCTTAACATCCTGATTTTTTGAGGTTGTTCTTGACAACTTCAATACGTCGCTGTCAGGGTCACCTCCCAAAATCACATGCCCTGTTATCATTTAAGTTGAAGCGGATGGCTTCAGAACCAAGAACATCATTGGCGAAAAAGAGCCCGCTAAGTATCTCTATATAAGTGATTTCTCTCAAACCAGCCTTCGCTAACTGGCCTGTAGTAGTTTGATTTGCAGCAGCAGTCGTAGATCCTCAGCCTGGAACCCCGCGCGGAGCGGGAACCCAGGGGATCCATTTGGACCAGCACCACTTAGCTTTATTTATCTTAATGATGGGCATCACATAAATAGCATTATGGTGATTTATGGTGCATGGTGTTCCTTTCGTTTGTTGTTGATGTTGCTGTTGGTTGTCGACATCTCCGGTCTTCTTTTCATTGCCACTTGCCACCTCTAATGAAACACATGTCAAAGGAAAGCCTAATGACAGCAGTTGTGAGGTTGGCACCCACGTAGACATGCAGCGGATAGATGAGTCTCTCTAGATATACATATGTTTTTTTGTGCTATGCAGTCGCAAGTTTCACTGCAACTGCGGACCATATTCGGACTGTTTGACTTCATCTATCGGTTTGGATCCTTGATTGCTTGCACAAAATTGCAGCATGAGGTCCATGCTGAAAAGCTCAGAGATGTGTGTGTGTGTGTGTGTGTTTGATATTGGCATGGGCCCAAACCTTGAGCCCTGGTCCACCAGGTAGCTTGACCTCCCAGGTCTAGCCTGGCTTAGCCTGGCGATTTGTCGACGGACCAATTTGCCCAACTGCAAAACTGCACCGGTCTATGCGTGAAGGCAGCGTCCGGCTCAGGTTCGTATAGCACAGACCTCCGGTAAAGAGGTGTGGTTTTTTGATGTGATCTATGTAGCTCGGCTGATCTGGGTTGATGGGACGGACGGGCGGGGGCGGACAGCTGACCCAGCTGGGGGGCAGAAGGCATTTAGAGCTTCCAAAGGCTCCATGACCATGGCTTCAACCACATCCTCAGAAGGTCGTTAGACGCCCCAAACCCATCCCATCGTAGACCTCTCAGAAGGTTGTTGGAGCCCTTCGGTGGCTGAACAGACTGGACTGAGACCGCTGTGTTTGAATCAACACGACAGTGTAAAACTGATGGTGGTGAAGAGGGTGGTTCGGCCATATTCCGCTCATGAAGCGATGCA